TTGTTTTAGTACTGAAGCACAGGTGGCAGGTTAATAGTTTTCCGAATCCCTTATGTTAGAGCCAGCAACATAGTAAATACAAGACATTTATTCCCAGAAAGCCTCGCCTCCTTCCTTCTCCTGCCCACGGCTTCTCTCCACCGCACCCTGGGAATGTTCACCGCCGCAAGAGCGTAATTCCCGGCTAAGCAGCATGCTTTAATCTTTTTGGCAGGCAGGCTAGTTGGGCGATGGAGCATGTGAGCGCCGTCGGCGTTCATGTTCCATATCCGCGTCCCTCCCCGTTCGGTATGCTAAGGGCTGTGGCTCAAGTTGCTGCTTATTCTCCGGGAGTGCCGATCGAGGTAAACCGCTCTCTTCTAGAGCGGCCTGGAGCCGTAGGGACAGCCATCGTGCACGACAGAAACACTTCGGTCGCTTCATGTTTCACAAACAAGATTTGGCAGACAGATCGATTCGGTAGTGGTATAGTGGAGTAGGAGCAGAAGTGTGTGAATGAGAACTGGAGTCAGAGTTTACCATTCACAGTCGCCCAACTATATAACTTAGGCGTAGCCGGTAGTCGTTATCATACGGAACCAAGGGCGGGATGTCCGTTAGTAGACAGTATCTTATGAAGGAAAGTGGTCAGTTTTGTGCGTCAGGCTCCTTGCTCCCATCCTGCCGGCTGGAGGCTTTAACTAGGCAACACGTCATTCTCCCGCCTAGGAATCACACGTCAGAAGTATTGCGCATTGCTGTGTTCCCCATTTTTTACCCCTTTTAGTTGACCTTGTGCGGCCCTCAAGTCTTTATCTAAACGTTTTCATTACCCCATCAAAACAACTTCAGGAATTAACCAAGCGCCTTAGTTGACCGGTCAGTGCCAACGGAATCTTAATGTTGTAGTGCAATATTAGATGAACATGGATCTGAGGCTCCTTCTACCTGCAGCGGAGATGCTCTAAATATCCTTTATAACACTGGTAGCTTCCTTCCGATGCCAGCACCCTTCTACATCCATGGAAAACTGAGCGTCGTGCGGTATGAAAGCGACGCCATTTTGCCAGGGACGTCTCCCCAAACACAAGCGTTAATCGCCTTGCAGTTGATCTTGTCCTGCTGATAACAACAGGGGGAGGATGTGGAGCCACGCAATGAAGATATGAAGAGGGGTGCTCTGCGAGAGAACAAAGAGCTCATATTCACCACACTTCCACAGCATGAGCCTACTAAGGACGAGAATATGACATCGGCGGGATGTAGTGGGTGCTCAGTCGCCCACATATCGCAGACCGACTGGTATGGAATATGCACCCCTCGCGGTTACTAATCTCATTCCGTTGTGGACAAGTTTAACCTTGTTTAACCTTCGGCCTTCCCGTATATCTTCTGAGGATTGATTGGTCGGCGGTAGCATGGATGAATCGATGAATTGGTCGGATGGTGGTCATCCACTCTGCCCTCTTTGGACGTTTTGCTATCCTGAATGATGACCAACCGGTGCCAGCCATACGACAGCATTGCTTTCCTTCTGGTGAGATATCACTCACTATCTCTGGAAATATCCAGCGTGGCATATTCCCCCATACCAATCACGTATCTAATCAAAAGTAAGTAGCATGTTTCATGAGCTTGACTTTTCCCGTGACGCTGCATGTGGTTGTTCGCCGTCACCAGCAGCTGGCGGTGAAGTGCCACTATCACTTTAGGTCAACCGGTCTGGCTTCGATGTCTGCCATGTCTGGATGCGTCGATCAAAATACCTCCGATACTTGGTGGCTGCAGCGTCACTGTTGGTCGCCCTGACTGCGGGTCCCTTGACTGTCCCTCTAATAAGGCGCGGGGGACGCCCCTGGCCTTCTATTGTCGTATTCCCGGGTCATGAGCTTCTGAGGATGGACATCACCGTTCCCTCTCGGTGGAAGGTTGAGCTGGGACAATATGTGTACCTTTCGCTCCCACATGCAGGCTTGTGCATTGCCGGCCAACTGCTGCTTTTCTACATCGCATCCTGAAAAGACGCCAGGGCCGGAGGGTTCACCAACGCAAACCCAGGGACCGTAGCACTTCACGAGCCTGGAGTGCACATTAGGAGAGGTAGAGACATTGGCTACAGTCACGAGCTCCTGTACGCTACATGTGCTAGTCCGCCCGCAGTCTTCTGCATTTGAAGTTGCGCTTTATAAAGCCAAACGACTTTACAATGTGCGAAAGACCGCGCCCGTGCTAGGGCCATACGGGAGACCGCCTGGTCTCGCTCATTTCCGGACCGTGCTTCTCATCGTAGAGGATGTCGAGATTGTACGAGGATTCTCGCTCACTCAGACACTTTTCCTAGCGAGTTAACGGCACCACGCCGTGGTACGGAAGCTCATCGTTGTCTGGAAAACGGAAGACCTTGGTACCGCGCTTTCGCAGCAATTCGTCGTTGTCTTCCATAGAACGGTGGACTGAGCTAACAATGTCTAGATAATTGCCGTTGGTGAACATGCAACATTTGCTTGACCTCGATCGCCAAGAAGTCAAGGTACCACGACAGTCGAGCAGACAGCCGTTCGTAAGCTGACCGTGATATATCCTCCAATTCTCCCTCTACCACCGCCAAACCTGCAAGAATGAGCCCTTTCATAAACCCGGTACTAGACTCCGATCCCTTGAAGGGTCTCTGGATGTGGCGCAGACTATGAGGGAGTGCCTAAATACACGTCGAGTGAGTATGTTTGTAGGCGGCATGAACACTCTTCCAAGTCTGGGGATGGCTGATGTTTCCGGCCAAGCCATACTAACAGGTCACTCGTCTACGGTGGGTATCCGACAGTCTATCCGCAACCAGGTCAAGGCGATCGTTCAGCCAGACGAGCGATGAGCTCAGGCTACTAGATATTGACGTTAAGCCGTACCATCAGTGGTTAGACACTGACACAATGGCCGACGCTGCCAGACCGTCCACGAACCACCTCAAATGCGTCGTCTCCAGAATAATTGAGAGCCCTGGTCATTCCAAAAGACCGATCTGCGGATGGCCGCTTATTTGACGATTACTTAAGCATATTGATCGATTCGATAATCTCCCTAACTGTCTTCATCCTACGGATGTTCTATTACCAACATGGCTGACATCGGTTTCTTGCGCGGTAACGGTCACCACGGGTCCATCGCATGGCCCCAGCTAGGTAGCTCCGGAATCGGGTCCAGGGTATTCCATTCTTTTGACATCTTCGTGTCTGCGCAGCCCGTCCGACGGCGAGAGCATACCCCTAACGCAGGATACGCTATCGGATCGTGGTAGTGTCGGCAATGGTAGGACCGTGAACGTGTACCACCGCAACATTGGCACCGTAGCCGGTCGAACGGCGCAGCCGACGAGGCTATATCCCTGGCGCAACTGCAAGACATAGATGGAGGCAAGCCGGTCCTAGAATCGTGGGAGGGTGGCTTATGTCTTTCGCTTCGCTGGTTGACGGTGTCGTCTCGTATTCGGATGCTAGGTGCGTCAGGCTGGATGTCAGCAGGCACTTCGATGTCTGATTCAGCAGCATATACCTCGAAGCCTGGGAAGTATGCGCCCCAAGTTGGCATACAATCCACAACCACGTACCGCTTAGCCAGTTCATAATGTTATTGCGGTGCAGATGGACGCAACCGATGGCCCCGTCCTTCCGGCTGGGAGCCATTCATATTGGATAGTCTGCGGGGGGGATCCGTAACTAGACGGCGATTAACCATGCTAGGACTTATACGGCCATCCTCGTTCGAAGAAACGCTTCGCGTGGTTGTGCAGCCTGGTGCCGTAGCCCGTTATGCCGGCGTGTGAAACCTGGCAACCGAGAATACCAGATTTCAGGGTATGTCGAGTAGTCTACGACACATTGTGCAATCCTCGGGTTGAAATTTCCCTAAGGGCCTGTTAAGCATAGGTATCCGATCGTCAGTCTCATGGTTGACCTTCTGGTGTGGCTGCGGTCAGTTCAGAGCAGGCATGAATCATTAATCCAGGAAGCGGTTACAGCGGGGAAAAAACCAATAAGTCCCAGTATATTGGGAATTATCTTGGGATTGGAAAAGCTCAGGTTAAAAGCGGTCCACCGCTGTTTGACCTCTTCCTGTCCGTCTAGTAGTCCTTGTCCCTTGCAAGCAGCATCATTGGTAGGGCCAGTGACTTTGTCCTGCGCTTTTCAGGGCACATCCCTTCAAGCTTCAGGGACAAGGCAGGCGAAGAGGCCCTGGGAAACAGAAGGCAACGTGAGACGCGCGGCCCAGCCAAACGGAAAGCCACCTTACATAATAATCATATTGCTTGGCAGGGATACGGGCAAGATAACCGATCAGGTAAGGTAGCAACAAGCAAGCTTGACGGTATGTCTCCAATCGTCCACCGGTCAACTCTCTCTATTGCACGTGCAAAGCTGCCCGTTCTCGACAGTAGCATCGTGCAGTGGTTTTTCAAGTTGCAGATAGTTTGGGTGGCTGCGTCACTGATGGGCAATTCAGTCTGATCGGCCTCGTGAAGCCAATCGCAGCCTTGGAGACACTGCTTGATACGTAATTAGATGACAATTGGCCCAGTTCTTCACCTTTCCCCTGCGACAGATTACAGATTTCATGACCTTGTCTCCCGGGTGATGAATGGATGCGCAATTTACTGGGTAGGCGAGGTTATCTGTGTAGCCATATTGCTAAGTATTCGACACCTACATCTTCGGGTATTGGGGAATAATTTAGAACCAAGGTTCAAGTCCATGAAATGGATGGCTTTGGTCTGTGAGCATGTGATCGAGGAGTAGAGTGTTGGTAGCTCCCAACACGCTGGCGTTCCATGAAGATGGTCATTGTATATATAAATATATACCTTGCTTCCATCTACAGGAGAGGGGGCTTGAACACGCCAACCCCTAAGGCAATTAAAATGATATAAGGTAATGAGACGAGCAGAACTTTCTAAATGGGCACATTTAATCTATCCGCCCCAAATGGAATTCAGATTCGTAATTTCGTTCTGGACGTGTTCGGATTCTGGGATGAACATAAAGTTGTACCCCCTGGCCTCCCAGGCCAAAAGCACGGGCTTGCGCTCGTGGCTGAAGAAACAACCCTGGGGAACTCATGCAAAGCTGGCGACCGCTCAATTCGACACGCTCGCCGAAGACCTCGACGCTGAAACCGAGAGGGTTGTTGATGAGTTGCACGCACAGGCAAAGGAGAATTTGTGAACCTGGGTTGCTTGAACACCGTTAATATGCGCCACCTCGAGAACGAAGTTAACCTGAAGTAGAGATATGAATAGTCAGACGAGATTAAGACCTGTTAGTCGCTTCAATGCAAGTCTCCCCAATAAATCGAACTGCACTTGGAGAGGGAAATGGCGAAGCGAGCCGCTTGGGTGTTGAGATATCTAAGTCTTGAAAAGTGCCACTTATATGGAATACAGGTGGCGGCTCGCCCGGGGTGGCGGTTCACCCTGGGATTTACGTTACCTAATCTTTCTCTTCAAGAACAATTAAAGGGGAGTACTTTTCAGGCTGAACTACGCGTCAAAAGTCATATTTGATTCAAAATGAGAATAATCCCTTAGTATACTAGGTTCTATCGCTAGATCAACGTGGAGCGGCTCCCCGGCCTACGCACTTCCGAGAAATGGCCACTATTCTGCTTGCTAAACATGGTGAACCTATTCCTACTACTGTAGGTGATAAATGGGTATATAACCTAGTTCAACGCAGAGATGAGCTGAAATCCCGTTTCTCTCGTCTCTACAACTACCAGCTTGCGAAATGCGAGGATCCTAAGCTTCTACGTGAGTGGTTTGAGCGCATACAAAGCACTATAACGCAGTATGGCATTCAATCGGGCAATATCTACAATTTTGATGAAACTGGCTTGTCTGTGGAGAACGTTACAAGAATATTCTAGGTCCTCCAAAACCACCATAACAAACTTCCTTACGACGAACAAAAGACATTATAAGAGCCGTGTGCTTCTAGATCTGTCTCAACAGCCATGAGATCCTTTCGTAAGGACAGCCCGTTTCGCGTAGAAAACTTTCTGTATGATGGGATCTGTCTTAGCTTTATTACTTGTTGGTACCCATATCTTCGGAGATCTTCTTGATCGTTCGAGCTAACTCTTTATTGGAGTCCTCAAGGACGCCTAGTCTTTCCGCCAGTTTATCAAGGAGAGCGTGTATCATTTCCCCCCGTTGTAGAGAATCGTCAAGTATGGGCTTCTGGCATTTTAACCCGTGATGTACCCCTTCCCATAGCTCGTATACGGACTGGGACTGTTTATCGTCTTTCATTGAGGGCGAATGGCTACCCCGTCCTGTCAATGTTTTATCTTGCGGGAACAGACTGGGATCCTATAACAAAGTTAGCATGACCAGCATGAAAACGTTGAAAAGCCGTGGATCCGAGAGTGCTTTCATACCGAGTTAAAGGTTTTTTGAGCATCCTGCGATATTTTTGAGTGGTTGGAGGCCGCCATGAGCGGACTCCGTATTGTCGAAATCCCTGGTAGATATGGGAAAACTCGTAAAATGTGGAAATGGCAAGGTGACTACTTGATATAAAAGATGGATTCGAGCTGGATATAGGAGTGCCGATGATTCAGACCAAGGGATCATAGGAACATATTGAATAGAAGCAGACGATGCTGTCGATTGCCTCTCACAGACATTTCCTTGTTCTTGCCGCCATCGCCCAATCCATCATGTGTGACTTCATGTTTCAAACGCCCATCCGCGCGAAGATAGACTGCGCGAACCAGTTCTCTTTGTCTCATAGCTTCATTTGTAGCTGTTTTAGGGTAGGTCTCACCAGGGGCCAGTGTAACTAGTCCATGGCCAGCCTCGCCGGAAGGTAGCATCGCCTAATTGTCCAGGTTAGCCCAATAGCAATCGAGGAAGAAATCCTTCTGTACCACGCCACAATTTGTCACTGTCACTGTCTAAAGGCCAATGTGACTCGTCAATACTAATTTCTTTGTTGTCCAGGCGGCGTCCGTATTCTCTGTTCATGGGTTTGTGTTGGGGAAAGAACGGACGATCTCAATATTATGTGAATTTATGCCACTGCGATAGCTATCGAATCATGTACTCGGGTAGAGTAGTCTGTCGGTGATTTCGTAGTCAAGTTGACCTCTGGATCTAATGCGAGAGCGACTTGGAACTTTTCGTAGCTTCCGACGGTTTTGTTACGCACCCCATGACTAAGACGATGCTGAATCAGTCAGAAGGCGACTAGGGATGAAATCACTATAACGTGGAAAAGAATCTTTGTGATGGATTTAGGGAGAGTGCAAGGGCGCGTGACGGGGGTTGGGAGGATCGCGAGAATAATTAGGCCAGACCACGAGTTGCCAGCCACAGTGGCTGAGTGGTTTGCTACTGCGGTTGTTTCACGTGACTCCAATGGCATCCCCACCAGCGCAGGTGCCAAGGCTAGGCTACGGCGAGCTAAAGCTACCAACGATGCACTAAGGAGATATCCGTGTGCCAGAAAGCTATTTGACCATCAAGCAACATTGTTGCCATGCCAGCGATATCTCATGGCAGATAAAACTACGCCGCCTGGGAGCTCTGTTAGCTCTCCCCTAACACCTCCTCCGACTGACGTGAAAACTACGTCTAATATACGCTCAATCCTCAACGGATTTCAAAGCCATTACAGAGGATCCTGACCGACTCCTTGGCTTGCTTACTCCCTCAGACGCGAGAAGTACGAGGACGTACTGCAGATTTTAAGATATGATCCAAATCTTGACAGTCATATCAAGTGTAAAGTGCGGTTAGTTTGGAAACCTTGAGCTGACCTAATGATCCTGTTCTCACTGTCCCTCTAGCTACGATTATGACCCGCGCTGCTCGCTCTTGACAATCCGGATGCCTACACCCCTCCATGAAATATTGTGCGCAGAAGTGGTTAGGGAGATAAATCGTCAGCTAGAAGCAGTCAGTGACTGTCCGGAGGCTGGATTGCCCAAAAAAAAAGCCTTTTGCGTCGTCACGAGTCGAGTTGCCAGAGGTGATAAATGGAGAGGAAAGGTATATTATACGAGAGCCAGATGCATCGTTTGGGCATACCAAGGCCCGATTTCCGGGCGTCGTTGTTGAAATCTGTTACTCTCAGAAACGTCGGGCCATCAGGGACCTAGTTGATGACTACATCCTATGTACTGACAGCAGCATCAACGCTGTGGTATGCCTAGATATTGAGTATCGGAGGACACAAAAGGCAACTATATCTGTCTGGCGTCCCGCATATCGCGTTGAAAATGGAGTTGAGGTGTTTGAGGCAACACCTGAAGTTGATGAAGAAGTATGTTTCCTGCCTTCAGAGGTTACCATTTGCTTACCGAGCTAGGTTTTCCGAACGGACAACGGCCAGGCTTTGGATGCAATGCCACTACGGCTGAACTTGAAAGATTTTGCGCCAGCAGACCTTACTAATGACTACCCAGACCTAAATCGTCATGAAATTACGATATCCTCAAGACAACTTTGTGGTTTCCTTTCGCAGGCTGAGTCAAGACAAGAGACCCAAGAGCGACATATCGGTTCTATCAACCATATCCGCCCTGGGGCTCGGAAGTGTCGCCGAACAGTAACTCCGGACTTGGACTCACAATCTGAGCAGGAAAGGCCAAAGCGGCATCGCCATGATGATAGTGAATACCATCCTAGCTCATCACCTACGAGGTTGAGCGACTGAATAGAGGATGGTTCCGCCGGAGCCAACGAATCTATGGGTATAGTTTTTACTTTCCGTAAACCGTCTACTGCCTGTTGAGTTACCAAATAGTTCTGAAGTATCTCTCGTCGATGAACCCGGTCTTGATAAATCTTATGCAGTCAAGTACGTAAGGGAAGTTTGTGCCCTATCAAGCTTCTAGTTTTTCGAATCCGGTGCTAATAGTGTCTACTCTGCTAGAGAGCACACTGCCTATTTGTTCGATAGTAAATATGTATGACTCCACATTCCCGCCGTGATGTCATAGAAGTCGTTCTCCTAGGCGGTTATCGACCCCTCGGTAACCTTAGCCTTCCTTTTGTCGGCCGCATGATCCTAGACATGCGTTCCCTAGTTTCCGTCATGGGCCGGCCTTCTCACACCTCGATCCCCGGGACGCTTCTATCTCATTAAAGTGCATTGCACTGCATTATGGTGCCTAACGCCTGCTACTTCCGTAGCTCTTGACGAATGTTTCTCTTCTACGCTTAGTTCTAGGATGAGGGATCTAAAGACCCATCGTAGACTACCTCGAATGAAATAAAATAGCCCAGTTGAAACTTCCCGAGGCAGGACGTTAATCTGGATTGCAAGCACCTGGAATACCCTGCCGCGGTTTGCTCACTTGATGGCACAGTTCTTGAAGGTCAAAGCATTCTTGGAGTTGTATATAGACTCCTTGGCAGAGACGTTGGCAAACGCCCGCCTGAATGATCAACAAGCACATCGGTAATATCAAGTTTATCGGATAGATAAGTTTGCTCATTAGAAATATCAAGTCAAAGTTATATCCACCCTGACTTCCTTCAATATTGTGGAGAAAGGAAGGGTTGGGGAAACGAATAGATTCCAGTTTACTGATAAAGGCGCTCTGTGGATTTCGGATATGGAGTCCCATGCCTTCAACCGGTAGTCGGGCAGCAACTGCTGCCACGCCTGATGTAATGTTGTCGGAAATAGTGTTTAACCGAGCCGGCAGAATCTGTCGCCTTCCCCTCGAACCTCGGACCCTTTTTGCAGGCCCAGTCGACTCAATCACAGTACTTAATTTAATACGAATACCGAGTGAATATTATCCCCTGTCGAGAAATTGTTTATATGAAGCGATGTACATTAGAAGCTACTGTAAAAGAAACATCGTGTAGAGCGTTATAATGTTATGTGCAAGAATCTTTGGCAAAGGCGACCATGACCGTGTTTGAACTTTTCTCTACACGTGATATGGTGTGAGTCAGCATGGATAATCGGGCACCCATTATTTTACCCCTCTAAAGATTCCTGACAGGTACAATTAACCGCAGGCGCAGTGGATTTCAAAACCTATAGTGCCCATGAGCTAAATGTGAGTGAATGGATCCATTAAATCCGTGAATCGTGTGTCTCATATTTTATATTTTAGTAGATGGCATCTATTATAGCACGGACTTCCCACACAGTGGATATTTGACGGTTTGATCAGGTCGCGACGACGAACACTCAGATGGACA